GGTGTCCGCGAGCTACTTTTCGAAGGCCCTTGGTGCCTCGCTGTCACAGAGGGTGGTGCCCTCGGCCCATCCACGTGTGCTATAGCCTTGCAGGGTTTTCTTACTGAGCTGATGTGTCTGAAACACACTTTCTCTTCAGAAAATCAACGAAAAGCCACAGGTCATCGCGGACTATGAGAGTGGACGGGCCATTCCTAATAACCAGGTTCTGGGCAAAATCGAGAGAGCCATTGGTGAGTGTCCTGCCAGCTTTTGTTGGGTGACCAGGTGTAAGGGCTGCCCCTCCCTGGTTGGGTTGGTGGGGCTGGGGTGCAGGAAGGCCCCAGCTTTAAGAAAATCCCCATGAGGGAGTTCGTGGGTTTCCTTGCCTTTCACGTTTGCTCTCCCCACCCCCGCCCGCGTCTGGGGTCCTCCTCGGCTCCCATTCCGGTTCCCACTCCCAGGTTCTCCCACATGCCCCTGTGTGGTGTCCTTTGAAACCCCAGGCATGGACCTCCTGTCCTAGGAAGGGAAGGGGCGTCTGCTCTGGGTCCAGGGCCTGCAGGCTCAGGGAGCCCAGCCAGAGTGGGACCTGCTTGTCCCTGGTGCCTCTCTCCCTCCCCTCCCTGTCTCTCGTCCTATGGGGGAAGGGAACCAGTGCTCAAGGGATCCAGTGGGTGCCTCCTGCCACCTTGGGGACCCATGGGTGGGGACGCTGTGGTGCTACTCTGTCCTTGGGAGACCTGGAGAGTGGGCTGCAGTGGTCAGGGTGTTCTCTGGCTCTTTCAGGCCTCAAGCTCCGGGGGAAGGACATTGGGAAGCCCATTGAGAAGGGGCCGAGGGCAAAATGAACACAAAGCCTCGAAGGCAGCACGTTCCGGCTGATCATGTCTGGCTGGTTCCCCTGACCACCAGCGCCAGCGTGGGTCTCCACATGGCCAAGCGGAACACGGGGTGGCAGCCCTGCCCTGAAACCCCTCCACCCGACCTGCTGTCAAACTAAACCTTGCAAAGTGTTTGCTTCTCATGATTGTTTTTCTTCCCTACCCCCATCCTGAGATTGAGGTGCAGTACCCACCGCTCTCCCCCGAGGTGTTGGCCCGGGTGTGGGTGTGGGTCCTGGGGGAGCTGAGTGGGAGCCCTTCACATGGGCGGGTGTGGGGTAGGGTGGCCCAGTCCAGGCCAGGAGTGGAAGATGCCGCCTTTAGTCTGGCTGTTAGAGACGCTAATAAACCTTTGCTGCCCTTCCTGCTGGTGTGAGTCATCCTGTCTGGTCCCACTTGCCGTCTCACCCATTATGCCCTTAGCACTCTCTTCTGCCCACATGTGGGGAGGGGATTGTTTCCATGATAGTTGCCATGGGGGTGCCTGAAGGGCAGTGAATGTCATCATCTGCTGGGACAGTTCGTGGTATTGGCTGGCCTCCTGGCACCTGACCCCACCCTCCCCTGGCCCTGGGTCCCCGGCCACACCCCCACAGAGCCCAGGGTGCCCCAGTGGCAAGGTGGAGTAGGCAGGAGGGGAGCGCCTGGCCATGCAGGAGTGGCTGTCACCCCCTTCTAGGTCCAGATGCCTTGCCTGGAAGAGCAGAGACCAGCACCCTCCCTGGTCAGAAAGACCTGACTCCGTCTTGTTAGAGGAAGATGGTGTATGGGCGCACCAGGGACCTCGACACCCCCCCCAGGGGCACACCTCCCTCAGGCAGCTAAAGGGCAGGCACCTCAGCTTTGCTGTCGAGGGACCCACTCAGGAGTGTCATGGGTACCAAGTGATCTCTGCTTTGAGATGCGTCATTTCGGGGACTGCTCAGACCATTACCATGGGACCGTGGATGTGGGGATCTCTGTTGTGGGGTGGCGGACACAGGGACCTTCTCGAGCAGGATGCACAGACTGGCTGGCGAGAGACAGGCTGCCCTCACGGGCTGGAGTGTTTATTGTTGGGGTGAGGAATAGCTAGGCACGTGGGTGGCAGGATGCCAGGTGAGGGATGCAGGGCTCAGCCCATCCTGGGGGAGGGGCAGGTGTTGGTCCGGGGCCAGGGCTGATAGGATGGGAGGAGCTCCTGTGAGGAGCCTGGGGCTTCTCTGGGTCTATGAGTCATTGGTGACTGATGCGGGCAGGGTGACTTGATCCTAGAAAGGAGAGGAACCTGGTGACCACTGGGTGGCGGGGGTGGCCTGCACCAGTTGGGTGGGTCAAGAGGATTCCTGCCCCACTGATCTGTTCTCTGGGGTCGAGCCAACATCAGGGCATAGCGACTCCCCTACCCCCTGCCCGCCCTGACCCTGGGGCCCCTACCACATTGAAGAGAATGTTGTCAAAGCCAGGGGCCCCGGTCGCTGTCCTGTCCCCAGAGGGGCAGCCCCCCTTCTTCTGCAGCCAGTGCCGCCCCAGGAGTCCAAGCAGCACCAGGAGTACAAGGAAGAGGAGGGCACCGCTGACCGCAGCTGGCACCACTATAGCCACCGCCGTGTCCCCTGCGGGCCGCCAGGCACATGAGCCCTGGGACTGAAGCCCTCCCTGTCAACCCCACTCCCACGGCCAAGGACGACGCCTGGGGACATCAGTCCCTGCTTCCCCCGGGGGTTCCTGGGGACACTGCTCTAGAAAGGGGGGGCACTGTTGTGCCAGCACAGGCTCCACACTGAGTCTGGGGACCTGGCAGGCAGGTGTGGCCCCAGGCTGGGCCCCACGTGATGGTGAAGTAACATCAACAAGCAGGTGCTCCAGGAAGAGGCCCCAGTTCCTGGCCTGGCCGCACCTCCTGGAGCCCAGCCACACCCTGGGAGCCTCTTTCAGGGCCTGGGGAGGGGAGGGGATGGCAAAGGGCCCGGCCTTGGTGGCTCTCCTGGCCTCTCAGGCAGCCCCGTGGGCCATGAGCTGCTGAGCTGCAGAGGCCCAGACGCAGAGCAGTGGCCGACTCGGGCAGGGCTTACCCGGGCTAAGTGCAGGCGGCTGGCAATGCTGCCCGGCCAGATACTCAATGTCGTCCAGGGCAATGGGCCCCAGGGCTGGCTGGCCGCCCAGAGTGGCTTCAAACATGATCTGACCAGAGGGAGGAGTGGCTGTGTGGACTCCAGGAGGAAGAGGGCCCCCCCAAGCCCCCTCATACCCCCTGGCTCCGAGCAGCTGGGCCTCACCTGGAACTCCTTGGCACTGGCCACCTCCACCTGTCCTTTCAGCCACTGGTGCCTCCGGCGCCCACCCGTGCCCCACACAGCCAGCTGGCCCTGGGCACTGCTCAGGAGCACCCTCAGCTCCCCCTTGTCTGAGAGTAGGGGCCAGGGTGGGTCAGGTCCCTGACCCAATCTAGGCAGGGCTGCCCCCAGGCCCCTGTTGTCCCCACCACCCAGGCGCCACCGGCCAGGGGACTCACAGAAGTGCTCGGGAAAGCCCATGTAGTACCAGAAGCGGAGGCAAGAGGCCTCCGTGGCAGGCAGAGGCTGGCTGCGCAGCCAGGCCGCCCGGCCCCCTGGACCCAGCACGCCAGTTTCGAAGAGAGCAAAGTGGCCTGGGAACAAAAGGGGGAGGGGTGCCCAACTGACTGGATAGAGCTGGCCCCCTGACCTGAGGCCTTTGGTCCTGATGGCAGCCTGGATGAGCTGGGCTGCTGGCCCCAGTGGGGGTAGGACCTGGGGCCCCTTCCCTGACTCAGACCCACCTGCGTCAGTGCCCAGGGTATGGTCCACCGGAGGCTGGGGGTATCGGGAGGGTGTGGATCCACTGCTCCAGTCCCAGCTGTACCCACCAAGGCCGGGCCAGGGCAGGTGGCTCCAGCCACACAGACCAGTTTCAAAGTCACAGGAAGCTGCAAGGAACCTGGGCAGTGAGTGGTGCTGCCCCGTCCCCCATCCCTGGGGCACCACCACTGTTGGGGACAGGGTTGGCACGGAGCCCAGGGAGGCACCCATGAGTCAGCAGGTTTTGGGGCCAGGCTGCAGGGCTCCCACCTGGCGGAGGGCAGGGCCCGTCCTGGAGGAGCAGGTCATCCAGCGCGATGTAGGAGTGCTCCACACCGGCGGCCACAGCCTCAAACACCACCTGGTCAGGCATGGGCAAGGCAGCTTCATGACTGGTCCGGACAGCCCTGGGGAGTGAGGAAGGATCTGCCCCCAGGCACTCACCCTCCAGGCTCGCCGGGCCTGCACATCCACACTGCCCAGGTGCCAGGCAAGCCCTCCGTGGCCACTGATGCTGAGCACCTGCTGCTTCTCCCCCTCCTCCAAGTGGACCTGCAGGGTACCTGCCCCACCAAACAGCCAGCCCAGGTCAGCAGTGGGCGAACAGGGCCCCTGAAGTAGTGGAGTTCCAGGTGGCCTTGGCAAAGGGGCTGCTGTGCACATACAGCCCCTCCTCCTGGCAGCCCTCACCCGGGTTTCGGAAGCTCAGATGGTACCAGAAGGTCAGGCAGGCGGGTTGGGCCAGGGGCCTGTGCTCCTCTGAGGTCAGGGAGGCCACGTGGCCACGAGGCATGGCCTGTGGGCTCGTGTCCACGATCATGTAGTGCCCTGGGTGAGGGTGCCAGCTTCAGCCTGCTGCTCCACCCTGCCCTGTCCCCACCCCTGCCCCACCCCAGCCCCATCCTCAGCCCCTCTGCCCAGCCCAGGCCTGCACCCAGAGCTGTCTCAGTAGTGTGGTCAGCCCGGGGGCCCTGGGCAATGTGGCCCGTGACGTTGGCCTGGCGAGTCCAGAAGTCCCCGGTGGAGAATCCACAGGCCGAGTCCTCAAAGGAGCAGCGCTTGGGGGCCCAGCAGGGCCCAGGCCGCACGGCCACATCGTCCAGCGCCATGGTGCCATGGTACCCGTCCCGGAGGCCCTCAAACAGCAGCTGGGGGTGGAGGGTGTCAGCACTGGGGCCTTGCCCTGCCCCCCACCACCCAGGAGCCAGACCTCACTTGGTACTGGGCGCCAGAGTCTGTCTGGTGGTGGAGGGTGGCCCAGGCCTCGTGCCAGCGGTTGCCATGGGTGCCTGACCTTGACCACAGGTGCGTGTCCACCTTCCCATCCTGTCTCATCACCAAGCGCAGTGTCCCTGCAGGGAGAGAGGGGTTTGGAGGGGACCAGGCCCTCCTCCTGATGGCTTCCCACCCCCTCCAGAACTTGGACCACCAGGAGTCTCCAAGCCTTGCCCCAATCAGGGTGACTCACCAATCTGGGGCCCATGGAGGTGGTACCAGAAGGAGAGACACTCCTGAGGGGCTGCTGGTGTCTGGGGCTGGGTGAGCAGGTGGGCACCAGGGCCCCGGGCGGGAGGGTCCATGGGGTCCAGGAGCATGAAGTAGCCTGTGGGGGGTTGGGGGAAGATGGGACACGGCTGAGCTGCATAGACTCCAAGAGGCGTGCCCTCCACCCCTGAGACTGGGCGCCAACTCCCTAGGCCTGGGCACTGCCACCTGAGTCTGGGTGCCCTCACCCTACCTTTGCCTGTGGTGTGGTCGTACCCAGGGCCATGGCTCTCCATCCGGTGCCAGTGGGCGTCTGTGAGGTGGCCTGGGTGCCAGCCACATGTGTCCCGCTCAAAGTTACAGGAGACCTCTGGGGTGGGGAGTGGTGGGGTGAGCATTGCCCCCTCTTA